AGAAGAGAGAGAGAGAGGGAAAATAGGAGAGGACGAAGATAGGTAGCCGGGTATAGGGTTGGTGGTAGGACATTGCGGATATATTCGCCTCTATCCAGCGCACGGGCCTCCTCCGCGCACGGCGTAGCGGCATCCTCTCCGGCGTTTCTCTCTCCTGGCCATCCTGCGACGTAATCAGCGAGAGAACCACCACCCACTCTCCTCAGCCAACCCACCCACCATCGACCCCTTTCTGCTCCACCTCCTCATCCACCTCATCCTCTCTTGCTCTTCCTCCTCATCCCTCTTTCGTCTCGCGTCTCACCGCGACCATCTACCGCCACCCCCCTTTGCTTCTGTCCGCTTTGCACTACCCCTCGACATCCCTTGCTCTGGCTGCCGTGGCATGCATCTATCCGGACGTCTATCTACCTATCTATCTCGATGCACTGGGTGTCCGCTTGAAAACCATCCTCCATTTCTCCTCCCTCTCTTCCTCTCTTGCTAATTCTCCTTCATATATATATATATATATGTATGTATCCCTCGCTCTCACTCTTTTTCCCTTTTCCTCTTTCCACCTCCCCTCCGCCCCCTTTTTGTCTTTCTGTTCATACGAATTTGACGGTGACGATCATCCACCGCGAGACTCGCACTCGTGATGGGATCGTTTCAAGCTAGATCCTTAATGGCGATCGTAGTTGGAGATATCTCGGTAATTTCGGATGAAACATAAAGCCTTGATATATGTATAACATTTGAGGGGAAAAAGTTTGATGGAAAGGTCATCGCGTCAAATTTTCTCTTCCGAATATTTCTCGTTATCGGGAAACTGATTATCGGGCGCGCGTTAAAAACGTTAATTTTTTAATCAACGTTAATCTCTTTAAAACATTATCGGCTGTGTTTTGTTCCCTTTCGCTCTCGTTTTCGCTAATCCCCTTGTCATTTTTGAATACATTCTTTTCATTTTCAAGGGGACAACGTTGATTTCATTCATAAGTATTCACGGCACTTCATAAGGTCCGACTTGACGATTCTTAACGGTCCTCTACCTTATTTAACGTCAGTCTCTGAAAAGTGCTTAAAGTTCCTTTTAACGGAGAAACTTGGACCCATAAACGGACAGCGAAAAACCGAAGTAACTATCGAGCCGGTTGTGCAGATTAGAGAAAGAATCTCGAAATAATGTTATAACCGCGCCGATGAAAAGGATATCGTGAAACAATAAATGCTCGGCATTTATTCGTTGAACCATCCTCTTTACGATTGAATTGGAAATTTAACGCCTTAATTAATTGCCATTAGTTCGTACGGTTTGTTTACAGAGACGAATAAAAAAAAAAAAGAAAAAGAAAGTCGAAAGAAAGAGAAAAAATTGTAAACGATTTATTATTTAAACTCTTCTCCATTTTTTTTTTTATGTTTCGAAAGAAATTTGCATAATTTTTGTCTATCGTTGCGTGACCGAAAATAGATAAATATCGTTGAGTGATAAAGAAATTTTTCTATAGCGTGGCGTATTTCTCGTACTCGGCCGAGTAATCGCTGAGTAATTACGAAGGTGTGCAAGGACGAATGGCTGCGTGGAAACACGGTTATACACGTGTATCTGTTATTGCGATATGGATGTTAATAGGTTAGGGGGTTTCCAGAGAATGTGGGGTGAATCACGATTTCGATAAGGGTTTATATTCCTCCCGCTCTCGTCCATTCTTGCCTCCCTTCCTCTCCTTCATCCTCCTCCTTCTCCTCCCTCTTCCTGCCACTTGCTCTTCCTCTTTCTCCTCTCTTCACTCGTTTGTTTCTCCGTCGTCACTTTTCACCATACCTCTCCTCCTCTTTCTGCATTACGCCGGTTCTGGCTGTTGCCGTTTCTCCCTCTTCTTCCTGCCACTCGCTCATTGAAAACCGGCTCTAGGGCTTACAGTGTGCCGAGTTTGCACGTATATGGATGCCTCCTCTCTCTTTGGCAAACGCGCGTGTAATACACATCCCATACACACACACATTCGACGGAGACACGCGTGTCCGTATACGTACTTACTTTATAGTGCCGATGTCAGAAACACGTGTACGGCTCGTTAGAGCACAGTGAGGCTCCGTTTGCCACCCACTTATGTATCACAGGTATTTGTAACGATTGGCCGTCAACAGAGACAGCCCAACTTTCTTCGAACGACATTCTTTTTCAAACGTACGTTTAAACTCGTAAATATTCTGCCGTGAATTTTTTTCTTTCGATAATATCACGCTTGTATTTTACTTGATAGCGTTGCGATGAAACATCGTTTTCGATAATCGATCATCAATCACCAATTAGATTAAATTTTGAGACAAAAAATCTTTTTTTTTTTTTTTGTTGTGATCGTTTAAATTATTAGTTTTGAGTTAAATGGTCAGATATTACGCAATGAATCCATAAGATATTCCTTATACCGTTGAGTTCATTTATCGTTACGAAAACGAATAGACGATATTATGAAATTTCAAATTAGGCTTGTGTCGTGGTATTTATTTCCATTTCCCGTACTACGATCAACGGTATAATCCGTTCAGGCCGAACTTACGAACTTACTCTTCCGTGTTTTACTAGTATTAGTAACAGCTGTTGCATAAATAATCACAAATTATTAACACAAAAGATCAGCGGAATTTTACCAATAAAAATATTTTAATATTTTTGTTGCTAAAGTACTTCATCATTTTCTTTCTCATTTCTCTCGATTATTAATTAATGCTTAACGTTTTAACGAATTAACACACTATGATAGAAAAAATAGATTATAAAATAGCATTAACAAATAAATAAAAACGCGCTTTAATCATCATGCCTTTTTTTTTTATATATTATCGATTTAATTACATCTATTATTCGTTCGTATAAAATATCGATACTAGATGATGTTATTAGTGATCTTTATAGTGACCGTTATTACGCGTGCGTGCAAAATATTTACTGTCGATTGTTTTTCGATTAGGCCGAGTTTTTTTTCATTGGCAATAGATATAGATATAGCTATAGCTTATTTATAATTGTACATCTCAGTTGCATCTCGAAATTTCTTTTCTTCGATGATACGATTACGAGTTCATTTCATAGTTTTTCGAACAGTCGCATCCTACACGTCCAAGCATCGCGATTTGTTCGGCATATATCGCGGCACAGTTTGCAGGATATGTAGGTGTAAACCTAGAGATTGTGTGTCGTGTAGGGCGCTCTCCGCCTCGGCGTATAGAGATGCGCGTACACATAGAGCGAATGGAACATCTAGCCAAGGTATATAGGCAGGCAGGGACTAGGTACTATCTAGTATCTAGTAATACCGGGTACTAGGTACGTACGCGCCGCGGACGCCAAATAGTGGTTCGCATATTCAGAGAGATAGCGACGTCGCTCGGTGCGATCGCCCCTGATTTAGGCCTCGTTCCTCGTATCTCTCTCTTTCTCTACCATCCCTCTCTATCCTACCTCTGTAACTCTCTCTCTCTCTCTCTCTCTCTCTCTCTCTCTCTCTCTCTCTCTCTCTCTCT